GGTGTCAGCCTTGCTCACAGCAACCTCAAATCCGGGCTCAAGCAATTCTCTGCCTCAGCCTCCCGAGTAGCTGGGACTACAGGCATGCGCCACCACGCCCGGCTGATTCCCCTGTGTGATTCCAGCCCCAGCCCCTCCCCCCACAGACCCAGGGGTCCAGCCCCAGCCCCTCCTCCCCCAGACCCAGGGGTCCAGCCCCAGCCCCTCCTCCCCTAGACTCAGGGGTCCAGCCCCAGCCCCTCCTCCCCTAGACTCAGGGGTCGGGGTCCCCAGGCCCCTTTATCCTTGGGATCCAGCTTTCAGCACTCACCTCCCTTGACGGAAATGCGGCCATCATAACAGTGGGCAGTGCTGTTAGGACACGTAATGCGGGGCGAGTTCTGAGAGCAGGATCCGAAGATGTTCACACAGCTCGGGCACTGCAGGCCTCCCGGGGCAGGGGCAGCTGGGGAGGGGAGAGAAGGTTGGGGGTGCACAGCTCTGTTCTCAGCTGTAGCCACCCGCCTTGGGCTCCAAGTGTCTGTGTCTCTGTGGCCCGGTCTCCCCAAGTCCCTGGATCCCATACCTGGACGAGGGAGGGACTTCAGCAGGACGCTGCTGCTGTTGGCTCCGTTGCAAAAGTTGGAGGAGCAGAACCGCGTATAGGAGGCCATGAGCACCCCGGTGGGCCCGGCATGTATGGAGGTGGCCTGGGAGTCCTGAGCCCCAGCCCTGCTGCAGCCCTTGCTCCACAGCAGGGCTGAATTGTCTCCTGAGGGGGTGAGAGGGGGACAGCTGGGCTGGGGAGGGGGCTCTGAGGGCAGCAGGGACTCAAAGCAGGACTCCCTGCATTCCACGGTGCTCCCCAGGCAGAGGGCAGAGGCAGGTTGTGCTTAGTTCTCATTAGGGGAAACCAAGGCACAGAGAGAGGAAGAGTTGGGTTGAGAACTCCAGGCGTGAGGGGAACTGAACAGGAAATTCAGGGGACAGGACCCGGGGTGCTACAGGGGACACAGGTAGGTGTGCGGCCCTCTCGCCCAGCCACGCACCTGCGTCTATGAGCAGCAGCGTCTCCTGACACTCCTGCCCAGCGTCGCAGAGCCGGACCAATTCTGGGTCCCAGTACACAGGTTCATGAGTTAAGCTGCTGCTAGTCACAATATTGGTCCCGTGGTCACATATGGGAAAATCTGGGGAGAGGAAATCATCAGGGTCTGTGTCAGCAGGAACCCGCCACATCTGTCCCTCCAGGTCCCATGCTGGGGAAGGAGATCACATTCTGAATCGCATTCCAGGTGGCCTGCACTGCTCACCCGTTTCTGCTTGAACACCACAGGGCCCTCCTCCTGGGGCCTTTTTGGGAAGGCTGCCCCTCCCTGCGGCGGGGGAGAGCCATGGACAGCCGGTCTCCCCTTCCCTGTCTGGGCTACAAGGTCCTCATCGGGATAATACGGAAGGCAGCCTGAGACCGTGTTTCTTTGCATTGAGAAACCCAATGTTCCAAACAGAAAGACTCGGTGCCTGGCGTGTACTGAGCTGTTGTAGCCCCTTTAACCCTTCCAAGGAGATCGCCTTGTATGCATGGCCTCACAGCGACCCACGAAGTAGGTGTTGTCGTCATCATCATCATCATCATCCTCACTGTCAAGCAACTGCCCGATGTCACACAACTAGTGAGTGGCAGAACCAGGCTCGGAACGAGGCGTTCTGGCTCCTTAGGGCTGGGTTTGGGCTTGGCGGTGGGGAAGATGGGTGTTGAAGACCATCTGCAGCCACCCTGGCCCTGGTGGCCCTCAGGAGTCTAGTGCGAAAGCCACAAGCCTCGGTCTTCTCTCAAGGCCATCACGGACCGGCGGTGACGTGTCCCACTGTGCAGAAACTCCTCGGCTGGGGACTCCACATCCACCAACACCTGTAACCTTCAGAGCAGCCCCTAACCACCCCAAGCAGAACCAGTGTCTGTGGCGTCTCTCCCTCCTAGCCCTGGAGGCCCTCTAGGTGGGGACAGAGTCTGACTCATCTGGGGTCCCTGGGACCCTGGGACCCTGGGATCCTGCCTGGCCTCACTTCAGCCTACGCGTCCTAGGCAACCGTCCCGAGCCAGTGCTTCTGCTGCACAAGCTGGAAACCTTGGTGTCAGTGACACGCAGCCCCTGCCCTCAGGGTCCTGGTCTAGCCAGGGAGACAGCTCCCAACACAAAGAGGGACGTTTGCTGAGTTCACTCAACTCTCTCCTCGAAGCTCTAAGGGTTAGGCAATGTGGGCAGAGGAGGAAACTGAGGCACAAGCAGGGAAGACCTTGCCCCAGGACAGCTGGGACTCCTATCTGATGCTTCCTTCCCCCGCCCCCCACGGCTTCCCCTTGCCTCAAGGCCCCTCTTACTGAGAACCCTACGCCACTCTCCATCGTCCCGTGGCTGGGCCAGTGGGGACCCTGTTGAACCCTTGCCTTCCCTGTCTCCCCTGAAGCACACTTGATTTTCCCTCTGGTTTTCTTTCCTGTGTAGACACGGCTGCTGGGGGCTCCAGGACCAAGGGTGGGGGGTGGATGAGGGCAGCAGAGAGGGCGGCGTGGTCAGGGGAAGTGGGAGCCCCAGGGTTGCCCAAGGTCAAGAGTGTAGAGAAACAGAACTGGAAGTCCCCGGGCCTCATGAGAACCAGCAGGTCAACCCACCCGCACCCTGACCTTCCCCCCTGCCCCTCCCCAGCAGGCTGCCCTAACTCAGCCTGGTATCATTTAAAACTCAAGAGCAGTGGGCTCCTGTCCCCTGGGCCACACACCCATTCTCTCCTTCAGCTGGACCCCTCTTGCTGGCACCCCATCCAGAGAGTCCCTGCACTTCACACACACCCGAGTGAGCAGTAAACCCCCAAATTGCCTGTGGCTGCTGGCTTAGGTGTGATGCCGTTGCACGCCCCAGGGCTGCGGTGCGGGACACAGCCTCCCTGTTAGGCGTGGGACTCACCTTTGACATTGCAGCTCTCCCTCAATTCTATGGGCCCAATGTCCCGGGTCCCGTTGAGCAGGTTGCAGCCTGGTTGGGACATGCATCCCTGCACTTGCAGTCTGGTGAAGATTTTCCCTGAGGAAGGCGGGGGGAGAGGCAGCGAGGCTGCTGCAGGGACCAGCCGACCCTCAGAGGGGGCCGCTGCCCCAGGAAGCCAGGTCCACCTCCCTCCGGGCCCCTTCCATGCCTCAGCTCCCCAGAGACTCAGATCTCAGTCCCCAGACCTCCCCATTCAGCCCCCGCAGGGACCCCAAGGTCCCCGGCTCACCTCCCACGAGCCGGAGGACTCCACTGTAGCAGTGTGTGCTCCCCTCGGGACAGGCCTCTGTCACATCCCCCGCACAGCTGTCTGTAGAAAGGCAGGCTGGGCACCGCAAGGGCCCTGGCGCTGGGGAGGTGACAGACAGAGTGAGGGGACACAGGGAGGGCTCTGGATTTGGACCAGATGCCTTCTCTCCGCCCCGCATTTGCTGGCCCCAATCTCCCCAGTGTCCTTCCTCGGGCCCCTCTGCCACAGCCCAGGTGTGCGGAATTAGGGGTGTGAGGCCAGTGAAAGAGGAAGTGAGGGGGGATACGAGGTCTGGGGGGAGCCGGGCACAGTGGCTCACGCCTGTAATCCAGCACTCTGAGAGGATCACTTGAGCCCAGGAGTTTGAGACCAGCCTGGACAACATAGCCAGACCCCATCCCTAAAATATTTTTTAAAAATGAGGTGGGCATGGTGGCACACACCTGTAGCTACCAGCTACTTAGGAGGCTGAGACAGAAGGATCCCTTGAGCCCAGGAGTTGGAGGCTGCAGTGAGCTATGATGGCACCACTGCACGCCAGCCCGGGTGAGGGAGCCAGACCGGGCCTCTAACAACAACAAAAATCTGGGCAGAGGCTCCTGGGCTGAGTAGGGAAGGGGGTGCTGGGGTACAGGGGGCGGGGCTGCTGAGGCCGCACACAGACAGCCCTGGTCAAGTCTGAACGGGAAGTCTGGCCTTCCGAGGCTGACATGGACACAGACTCCTCGGTCAGGGCAGGGAGGGGTCTCCTGGAAGAGCCCCTGGCTTCACCTGCAAGTGCTACTAAACAGTAAGGAACACAAGACACGCGAGTTCAAAACTATTCCAGAGCCAGGCGCAGTGGCTCACGCCTGTAATCCTAGCACTCTGGGAGGCCGAGGTGGGTGGATTGATCAAGGTCAGGAGTTGAAACCAGCTGAGCAAGAGCGAGACGGTCTCTACTAATATGAAAAGAAATTAATTGGCCACTAAATATATATATATACATATATTATTATTAGATACACCACACACACACACACAACACACACATATATATATAATATATTAATATATAATATAATATTATATATATATATATTAATATAAAATAGCTGGGCATGGTGGCACATCCCTGTAGTCCAGCTACTCGGGAGGCTGAGGCAGGAGGATTGCTTGAGCCCAGGAGTTTGAGGTTGCTGTGAGCTAGGCTGCTGCCATGGCCACTCACTCTAGCCTGGACAACAAAGTGAGACTCTGTCTCAAAAAAAAAAAACTTCCAGAGAAGAGAAGCGCAACACATCGCCCAAACTATTTTACAGCAGCCGACATGGACAGTGGGAAGGTAGGGCCATGTTACTCAGGAACAGGAAATGCAAACGCCCTACGGGAGACATTGGCGAAGCTACCGACAGTACAGAAGAAAGGACAACGCC